TACTGACATTCGTTTGTCCCCCTTGTATTATTTTTCCCCTTCCCCTCACTTCCTCTTGTATGTACTTTTGTATACCTCTGAGGGTCTCCTTCCATTTCCATGCATTTTCCCTTCTCTCTCCCTTTCCCTCCCACCTCTCATCCCTGTTTAATGTTAATCTTCTTCTCATGCTCTTCGACCCTACTCTGTTCTTAGCTACTCTCCTTATATCAAAGAAGACATTTGACATTTGTTTTTTAGGGATTGGCTAGCTTCACTTAGCATAATCTGCTCTAATGCCATCCATTTCCCTGTAAATTCTATGGTTTTGTCATTTTTTAATGCAGAGTAATACTCCATTGTGTATAAATGCCACATTTTTTTTATCCATTCATCCATTGAAGGGCATCTAGGTTGGTTCCACAGTCTAGCTATTGTGAATTGTGCTGCTATGAACATCGATGTAGCAGTGTCCCTGTAGCATGCTCTTTTTAGGTCTTTAGGGAATAGACCGAGAAGGGGAATAGCTTGATTCAATCTAACTCACAGAAGACATTTTTAAGATTATCAGAGGGACTGTGGCTGTGGCTCAGCGGTAGAGCACTTGCCTAGCATACATGAGGACTCTGGGTTTATCCCCATCACTATTAAAAAAAGAAAAGAAAAGGAAGATTACCAGAAATTTTAAGAGGAATTGGGCATTTGGTTATAGTAAAAAATGATCATATTGGATGTGATTATGTTGTTATTGATTTTTAAAATCTGAGTTTTTAGAAGCATTCTGAAGTTCAATTGAAATGTGTAGGATTTATTTTTAAATATTTCAGGAAAAAAGGTACAAGGATAAGCAAACAATACATTGCTAAAACTCTGTAATGGATACATGGGATTTGTTATGCTCTTGTAGTTTTGAAAATTTCCACGATACAATGGTTATTTAAAAAAAAAAAAAGGAAACTAAAAGTGATATACATTTGGACAGTAAATAGTAGCAGAGTGACATGGGAAAATTTGGGGTGCCAATTTTAAATTGCACACTGTATGTATTCTGCTCACAGCTTCAGGAGGTCCTTCTTCTGGTAACTGAACCTGACCAGACTTCACAGGTATCTTCCGCATCTTGTGGAGGTTAAATGAAATGATACATTGCAGTTTCTGGCCTGTAACAGGTGTTTAATAAATCTCAGCTGTTTCTTATTTCCATTGCGTGTGCTTCTTTTTCTGTCTTCTCATGAGTATGTACAAACCTGCCTAAAGATCACGTGGGTTAAATTATGATAGTTCCTGTTGGATTTTAGACTGTGACACCCCTCAGCTGCCCCCATCACCACCTACCAGATACTCTCTGGCCTTCCATTTTAATACAATCTATGGTTAGTGGTAGGAAGGTAACAGATAAAGATCATTCTAGGATAGTTGTTTAACATTCTAGTTAGGGTACATCTGGAGAGAATTTTAGAATAGAAACAAATGTATTGTGAACTTTGAGGGTCTAGTGATAATGTTAGTGAATCTTTTCCCCTTCATACTCTTCTTACTGTCCCTTCAAAACAGTGGCAGGCCAAAATGAGCTCTGTTTCCCTTTCGATTTTACATGTATGGGTGTTAGTTTTATGGATTTTTCCTCCTGAGAGAGGGTATTATGGAATAATCATAAAAAGAAATGAATAGGAGAATTTCTCAAGGAATAACTTTTTAAAATCACAAACTTATTAGAATGTATTTCAGGTGGCGCGGCACAGTGGCTCACGCCTGTATCCCAACAGCTTAGGAGCTGAGGCAGGAGGATCAAAAGTTCAAAGCCAGCCAGCCTCAGCAACTTAGTGAGGCCTAAGAAACTCAGTGAGACTCTGTCACTAAAAAAAAAAAAAAAAAAAAGGCTGGAGATATGGCTCAGTGGTTAAGTGTCCCTGGCTGGGTTCAATCTCTGGTACAAAACAAAACAAAACACCAAAACCAAAGCCAAAAACTATATACACAGAGCACACACACATACACATTTCAAATAATTAGGCATTTTTGGTTTACTTGGCAGTTGGGCAGTTATTTTGTGTACTCAGAGAGGGATAATGTGTTGTTTTATTTAATAACATGACTTTATTTTGATTTTATATACTAGTTTCATATAGACACATAGATAGACAAGGTGTGTTTAATGATACTTTTAGGATTGGCTCTCTATATCTGAATTCTGTCCTTTTAGCTATATCATATTAGAATGAGAATTTCATTAAGCCTTGCATTTTTATCTTTCCTTTCTGATTGTTCTTTAATTCCTATGTCTAAGTTGCTCTGTAAAGGTGGAAATTAAAGTTTAAAAATTATGAATCTTAATTTTTTCTGTGTATATGCAAATGTATATTAACTGTTTGCAACTTGCTTTCCCCTCAGTATTTAGATGTCTTTTCAAATCGGTTCACAGACAGCTATTGCCATCATTCCTCCCATATATAGTATTGATAATTAGTCCAAATTTGTACCTTTTCCCACATAATGTATGGGAATAATGTATGAGATTTGAGCTGGGGTCTGTTTGTCAGTAAAATTCATAATCTCTACCATAGATAACCTTACCAATGTTATAATCTTTACAATCTAGTTTCCTTACCCCAAACTGTTGAACTAGCAACATAGTTTAGTGAACATTAACTTTTTCTTTTAGATGTTTATTTTGACATAGTTTCTGACTTAATAGAAAAGTTGCAGAATGAGATAAAGAATTTCCACATACCTTTCACCTAGATTTTCCTAATATACCATTTTATTTCTCCTGTTTTCTTCTCCCTGCCCCATAAATAGACATCTTTTTTTTCCTAGACAGTTTGAGAATAAGTTTCAGACGTGATGTCCCCTTATCTCTGGATGCTAAAGTGTTTATATCCTTAAAAGTATGACATTCTCTTTACATGACCACAGAACAGTTATTAAAATAAAGGAAATTAGCATCGATGTAGTAGTAAGCTGTAAACCTTACTTAGATTTCTTCAGTTGTTCAAATATTGTGCTAGATTGCAAAAGAAAATCCCAGATATTTTATTCAGTTTATCCCATCCTTTTAGTCTTCATTATTCTGGAGATGGTTAAAGGAGAAGACAATAGTTCCTGGGTTTCCCATTGTGTTTCATGATGTTGACATTTTTTGAGCAATGGGGGGTAATTGTTTCATAAAGTGTTCCTTAATTTGGTCTGTCGGATACTGCCTCATGTTAAATGCAGGTTATGGACTTTGGCAGGAGTAAAAGATGTTATGTTCTTGGTGCATCATATCACGGTGCATGATGTTGATTTGTCCCATTACAGGTACTATTAACTTTGATTTCTTGGCTAAGGTGATGTCTTCTAGGTTTTTACATTATACCTATGTTTTTCTTCATAATGAGTACATATCTTATGAAACTCTGAAATGATGTGAATTCCTGATAGTCATAAATTTGCACCCACTAGCTGAAGAAGAGTGCTTTCCCTTTTTCCCATTTGTTTATATCATGTGGAGTCAGTGGACTCTTGGAAATGCATGGCTACTAACCCTTTACTATTATTATTTATTTTAATGC